TAACAGTAAAACCACATAAGGTTAAAGAGGAGCTGGCATCAAACCGGCCCAAGGTCAACAAATCTCAGCAGTTCAACAGCACGAAGAAGGAGATCTTTTGAAGATCAAAGAACTGATCAACGATCAGTTAATCAAATCTCGGAGGATCCCTTCATCAACGTCATAATACACTTGGCAATTAACCGAATCTTCGGTTCCAACAACTCTGTTACAGAGTTTCAACTCATTCTGAGTTCTTAAACTCGTCAAGAGTTCTTAATTAACTTGCAACACAAGTTAATCACATCGAGCCAGACATTCGGTTTTCAACAACTCTTATCAGAGTTCTTAACTCGTTCAGAGTTCTTTACACTCGTTAAGAGTTCTAAACCGAAGTCATCAAGAACTTCAATTGTTCCAGTGAAGAAGGACGGTTGGATCGTCAACGGAGAGCAAGTTCAACGCGATCAATCGAAGGAGGCACTCCACCGCTACCAAGAAGAACCCAGTTTTAAACAAAGGGGAGAATCAAATTTATTCTCCTCTCTTTTGTAATCGGAATCCAAATTGTAATTGATTTTGAGAGAAATACAAGTCAAATTTTTCTTTCATTGTCTTTTTACATCAAATTTCCAACAAACAGGGATTATGACGAATTTTGTTTTGATTACACTTGAGATAAAAGTTGATTACACATTTATATATATGTTGGATATCGTTGATGAGCACCGCTCAGTACTACATGGAGTAGTACGTCGATATACCATTAGTACAGGGCATTGAGTCAGGTTTAGGATACTTTATCTAGCAGTCCGTCTTGTACTAGGGTACGATGAGGCTTGTGAGCCGTATTTCTAGGATGCCTACTTGGTAGTCAATCCCGCACTCGTGTTATGTACAGAGATGTGATGAGACTAATGAGTCGTGTGCACTGTTAGGATACCGACCAGGTAATCTATCCCGCATGATGATGCGATGAATCAGAATCTTGCAAGGATTTGAATTGAGACGATTGTTGATAGCCTGAGTCTTTCACGGATGCCAGTTATGTATATGACTCATTGCTGAGATATATGACCGAGGTACTTTTCCCTTGAAAGTACGCGGGGGTATATGCTAATATTTATCTTATCTTCCCAATGATAGTGAAAGATATTATAAATACGATATTATGAATGTCTTTACTTTCTATATTGCTTTATTTTGTTCTTAGGTTGGGATCAATGATTAGCGATTCACAATTTGAGACATATGATATATACATGATGGTTTCCTTATTTGGATTATTTCGCTCGATGTACCAGTCTCGTGTTGTAGGTTTCTAATTATTGATTTTATTTATATTGTTTATCTCTAGTTCGGTGTTAATATTTAGGGGCCTACAATTTGAGACATATGGTATATACATGAGGGTCTCCTTGTTTGGATTATTTTTCTCGATGTATTACGTCTCGTCTTATAGGTGTCTAAATATTAACTCCATTAGATATGAGAAAAATAATTTAGGTAGACTATGCTTAATAGGTAGAGCCTCCACTTTATCTAGCAGTCATTCCCCTAGGGCGGATGGAGGTGATCTTGCTGTAGCGCTCTGACGATCTTATTGTTATTCTTTTGTTTTAAAATTTCTTTTCAAGCATCTCAAAGTTTCAGAGAGCCGCAGGATGACGGAGTTCTTGCATAGTCACCGTCGCATGAGTTATCAGTAGAGGCTCCACAGTAATTTATATTTCCATTCAGTTATTTGAGTTGTATTTTATTTTGTAAAGGCTATGAGCCTTAGTTACATTTCCAGTTGATTCATGTCGAGATATTTTACATTATTTCAGAGATCAGGTGTTTACAGTTTTATTCATTTAAGACATGGTTTCATTTATGAGATTTATCCTTCTATACCATGTCTATTGTAATTATTTACCTTATTTTACCTGTTTTGTACCTACCCTTCTTTTTGATTCCACTAGAGGATATTACTGTGATTGGTGAAACGTGTTATTGCACAGTATGTGTGCATGGCAGGTTTGACATCTCTGGATTCACCTTAGACTGCAGCCATGTGTGAAAATAGGGATCGTCACACCCTGATGCTCCAACACCCAATCTAATCATCCTGGATTAGGAAAAGTAAGAGGTGTTTACTCCCCCCCCCCCCCCCCCCCTTCATTATTCTTAGACCACTTGTGCTGAGATAAAGTTCAGGGACCTATTAATTAGGCTTTAGCCAGGAGAACATCTCCTGTAATTTGCGCATAGTTGATTGGCGTCATGATCAGCCCATTTTAAGCTATGAAGGGCACCAAAAGAATTACTAGACAAAATATTAATGCTTCAGAGAGAACTGTAGGACAATGTCCATCTTCTTACTAGTGCTAGGCTTTAGCATATATCGCTACAATTCTTAGCAGGGGGCTGTAGAGAGGCTTACCGCCCCCCCCTCCCCCCCCCTAACTATTTACAATTGTCACCTGACTTCACCTGCATAATATTATCTTTCACATGAACTAATTTAAGAACCCAAAATTGCTTAGTTTTCAATTCTTTTCCACATTTATCATCATTATGGCCAAACACAACGCATTCCTTGCGCCTCTTAGGTACCCATTCATACACCACTTGTTGTGTGAATTCCTTTCCTGCTCGACTATAAATTGTGATAGAATTAGATAATTTTGAATCCCATTCCATAGATTAAGATTCAAATGAGAAAACTATACCCAATTTAGTGCTTTCTTGATATCAATACTACTAACTAAGATCCAGATCCTCGGACCGTTGCCTCAATGTAAGAAATTTGTTATAAGTAATACTAAGGATCCATTCTAAATTTTTCTTCATCATAGGAGCAGACTCAAATTTGAACATGAACATACCTAGCTTGAAGCGTGGAAACTCTAACGCCTCGTTTGGTACGCGGGAATGTGGAGGAATGGAATGCAATTCCCACTTCCCATTCCCTCATACCAAACACACCTATATTTTAGATGTTGGAATGACCATTCCCTAGGAATGATCATTCCCACTATTTGTGGGAATGAGCATTCCAAGTGAGAAGATAAGGAATGGTCATTCCCATTCAAGTGAGAATCAAAAACTAGTTAGGTATTTTTCAATTATATCCATATTAATAATAAAGAATGTTTGGATGAGGCGCTATGCAAGTGGGCAATTTTAGATTGACAATTTAGGCTAGTATATCATTTTGCTATTTCGAAACTTATTATTTTAGTTGGTATTGTTTTATGGATTTTTGCTATTATGAATTGAGTGATTTTGATACTTTATCAAATAAGTTAATTTATATACCTAGAACTGTGGATTGTGGATATCATTCTTTTTTTTTTGGACCTATGAAAGATACGATAATCTTTTTTTTATTTTTCTTTAATTTTTAAGACTAAGAAATAGCGAGTATTGTTTAAAAAATATAAACGAAACATACACCTGATGGATAACACGAGCATTAGTATAACACATACCTAGATTAATATAACATATGCGTATATAAATTATTTAGTTATTATCATTAATGTTTATTTTTTATCTTATTAAAAATCTATGTTGTTATAAGGGCATTATTAGAAAATGAGATTTCATTCTCACTTGTGTACTAGTGATACCAAACATGAGAATGAGAATGAGATTTCCATTCTAGCTTCATTCTACGAACGCACCCAAACAAGAGAATGAGAATGACCATTTCATTCTCATATGCAATCCATTCCATTCATTCTTCCATTCCATTCCCAAGTTTGTCCATTCCCGCGTACCAAACGAGGCGTAATTGAATCAAATTTGCTCCATCAAGGCTCTAACAAATCTCTTTATGACTGGAAATGGAAGCTTAAAGCCCAAAGCATAGCCAACAAACAAAATACTCCAAGAATCCAAGCCTTCGGACCACTCATCATCGTCAAATTGAACTTCAGATGCCAATTAGAGTTTGTTGAGGGATGAACTTAAGATCTAAACGTAGCTCATGCTATCGGTTCCGAGAAGCAACTGAAGCATACAAATCTTGCTTCAATTCCTTAGATCTCGCCATTTCTAGCACTAATCATCCAGTTCAAGCTACGAGAAGAGATTAGAAGGAAAAAAGGAGAGCAAATTGGAGAGAAAAAAAAAGAACTAAGAAGAAGCACAAGAATAGCTTAGATCTGAAGATGGCGCATGGTAGCAAATTTAATAAAATCGAAGCTCATCCTTATTTCTATCTACCTGATCTTTTTTATAATGTGCAATTATAAAGGTAGCCCTCATCTATAGGGACCAGTTTGATCACTTATGGAAGAGTTAAAATCCAAAACTTCAAACTTGTTTGAATTGTGCAAGTAACCAATCTTGTAAAATCGTCAGAGTTAGTGGGTTTATTGAAAAGCATGACATTGGCGCCTATCGAATCCACAAAATGCTATCAATCTTGGGATTCAAAACTTGAGTCAAAGTTTTTTCACCTTTTTTCTCTATAGATTTTGAGTGATAAATGACATTATATTTTTGGCTCAAAATATAAATGGAGAATTCAGTATCCAAGTCGAAGGATGTTTTCTAATTTTTAATAAAAAGTAATAATTTCATTTTTTTTTTAAATTTGGAGTCCTTTAAAAACTCCTAAGCTTGACGCATGATTTAGATCATTTTTTAATAAAATAAAATCCTAGTAGAAGCATAATGAGAAAGTTAATATGGAGGAGAGATCGGGGGTGATAATGGGGCGGTGATATTTCAAGGGTTTAAAGATTTTTTTTTTTTTTTTTGCATGTTACGACAACACAGTAAAAGCATACTTTTTATGGTACGCCTTTTTCATGATCAACAGACACACAAGCAAATTTTTAATTTTCATTGTTTATCCTTGTTATACCATATTTTTATTTTCTTGTGAAACTAGTTTAAAACAGGCCCAAAATATCGAGCCCAAGCCTGATTGAGTTTTTTTTAAAATTTATGAAATCACCGAAGTTGTATACTTCTAATAAGCTTGGGCCTTAGGTTTGCAGACCAACCCAACCCACGCTAACAGCGAAAGAAAGCCCTAGGGCTTACATCACTCCGTCTCCAACCCACCCACTATATAACATCCTCTCTCATCGCCGCCACAACCCTAGGGTTTTGCTTAAGCTCGAATCTCACTTTCAAGCTTCTCCATTCTCATCAGCGTTCAAATCATGTCGATGGGAGACGTCGCCTGCAGCTACGCTGCTCTCATCCTCCACGATGAAGGAATCCCCATCACGGTGCGTTAAGAGTTAGGGTTAGGGTTTTTTTTTTTTCTTTAACAATAGTTTAAGGTCTAGGGTTCTGATCTGTTACTGATGCAATTGCAGGCGGATAAGATCTCGACCCTGGTGAAGGGCGCCAACATCCAGATCGAGTCCTACTGGGCCCCGCTCTTTCGCCAGCGCTGTTCCAGAACAGGAGCGTTGATGATCTCATCGCGCGGCATTGGACCGGTTTCATTCTTAATTCTCCTAATTATGCGTAGTTCGTTTATAGTTTTTTTCGATTGGAAGTTTTTAAGTTTGATTCTTTTTCCTTTGGGTTTAGGTGGAGGTGGTGCCGCCGCCGCCCCGCCCCCGGCCGCCGCCGCTGCTCCGGCCGCCCGCCCTGCCGTTGAGGAGAAGAAGGTTAGTTTTTTTTTAAAAAAATCAATTTGAAAGTATTATGTAGTTGTCCCTTAAATCTTTCGCATCCATTTACTCCCTCAGCTCATACTCATTACTCGTTTTTGACATTCAATTTCTTAGTCTTTCACATACATTTGCTCCCTCAGTTCATACTTATTACTATTCTTTAACATTCAATTTCTTAGCTCTGGCAGAGTTAATGATTGCCATTTTATATTTGGAAGAAGATGAACTCTGGAGGAAAAACGAGGGATTGGGTTTGAAAAAAAAATATCTTTTTGAGTTTGGATTTAAGCTTAGCTAAGGGTTTGTTTGGATTTGCACTAATTATGCGAAGCAAAGTTAAGGTGAACTTATTTGGGAAATTAGTAAGGGGAATTAAGAGAATTATTTCACCCGGTTGGGAAGTTTTGTGAACTTTAATAAAGTGAAGGAAAGGATAGAGAATAGATGTAAATTTACATAAATAACATTATATGTTATTAAGTCTTTTATTATTGTTTGAAGGTAGATAGAGGTTAAAATGATTTCTCCATAATTGTTTTTTGTTAGAAGTCCTCTTAACTTCTCTTTTTACCCTAGTTTACACCCCTCCAACAGCTTCCCCATCTTCTTAAAATACTCAATTTTGGAGAATATAGAGTTATTTTTAGGTCCAACGGTTTCTCCATCTCATTCCCTAAAATGGGGATGGAGAAGAAAAAAGATGGTATTTCCCCAAATCTGCAGCATTCTGCACCATCTTCTTAAAATACTCAATTTTGGGGAATATAGAGCTATTTTTAGATCCAACGTTTTCTCCATCTCATTCCCTAAAATGGGGATGGAGAAGAAAAAAAAGGGTCTTTCCCCAAATCTGCAGCATTCTGCAAAAATTCTTCCTTCCCCAAATTCTTGAAAGTAACATTATCATAAATATCTCACATTCTCCAAAGAAGAAAAAATATATATCTAATATTTATTGAGTTTTATATTGTTATAATAAAATATCAAACATTTTCTTAATTATTATTGAGAATGTAGGATGTTTTATAGTTGTAATAAATGCCTAAATCCCTAAAACTAAGAAGTTGTTGGATTTGGAGCAATTTTTTTTTAGAGAATTTGGCATTTTGCTTCCACATTTTAGAGAAATTATGGTGAAGCTTTTGGAGATGCTCTAATTGGAGGGGAACAAAAACTTGAATATGTCCTCCTCCTTTTAACTTACCTTCTCCCCCATTACCTAGCATAAGATAATATTCCCAATCAAGGATAAAGAGT